TCACTCATAGTCAGGTAGCAGCCTGAGTGTTGTCTGCTCCATTAGTTTTGACTGCATGGTTAGTGTTTCAGTAGAGGTAAGCTGAATGTGGTGGATACATGTGTACACACAGTCATTTGCCCTCTGAGATTCCAAAGAACCACTTGCTGGGCACCTGTATCTCTCAGGCTTTCCCTTCAGACTTCATTGTCAAAGGAGAGATGTTTTCTCAAAAAGCCATACCAGTAGGTAAGACTTTCAGGAATGTACTGTTCTGTACTGTTTCTTCTATGTAAGCAAGCCTTGAATTTCCTCAGTGCAGAGGAGGAATGGTCATACCAGGCACCAAAGGGCAGGTATATATGCCTTTCACAGTGGGCTGGGTTATCCGAGCACCTGAGCTCAGCCACTACCATATTTTGTAGTCTAAAGGAGGAGAGGTTTTAAGAGTCCTTGACTCCTTTCTTTCTGCTTATTTGAACAGATGGAATTTCAGTAGTCTTCTCAGAATATTCCATATGTTTAGTAGGACAACTAAGCTCTCTAAGTTGTATGTTGTAATAGTTCTCCTTTTTTCTAAAATTAGTTTATTTCAATATATTTGAGTTGTCATGTGTTTGAACTGACATATGCATGTTGTCATATGTTTTGATTGGAAGGAAATGTAGATACATAGGATGTGCTATGCTATGGATTCTGTTTATTCAGATAACACAGGAACTAAGGATAGCCACTATTTGCATTATGTAGTAACTTAGAAGAAGGCTAAGAAGGAGTTTCTGCAATTAATGGGAACAAGTTGTATGCTTATTTTAATGGCAACTGAATCTGTTGACTGGAGGATTTGTCTTGTGTTTACAAGCTGAAAAAGTGAGGAACCCTTATGTTTGCAGGAAAGGAGTGGATGACTTGACATATGGTGTATCAGCCTGAACAAGAAAGTAGGAATAAGAATAGGCAATAAAACTTGAATTTTCCTGTAACTCATATGCTCTGTGTTAGACTAGAGAAGTATTACAAGATGCCAAGTGATAGTGAAAAAACGAGATAATTGTTTTATTAAACAAATTATTAAACATCAGTAATTTTACATTTCTATAAATGTCTTTACCTTGATAGTGTTTCACTATATTCAGAGTGGTTTTAATTAAATTAATATTTATATAAATACACATTTTATGTAGTTCAGAAAAGAAGTTCAAGGAAATGTATGAGTAACTGTATTATGTACAATAACCATTTTGGAGATGAAGACTTGGAAAGCAGATGGTTTAAGGTATATTGAGACAGTGGGCATCATCTGATCTGTCCCATATTCAAAATCAGGGCCCTCTAAATTTCTAGAGATGTACCTGAGTGTGGAGGGTTGAAAATACTGGGAAAAACACTGTCAAGAGCTTTTTTAAAAAATCCTTTGTTTGCAGTCCCTGTACTGGAAAGTAATTTTACCTTCTGTTTTTGTCCTGCCTCAGTATGTGCCTATTAAAGAGAATAGATCTTTTTCATGCATGAGCACAGCTTGCGTTAATGATAATGGAGTTTTCATATGCGTGGTGAAAGGTGTTCATACCTAATGTTACTGCATTTCTAATGCTACAGAAGATAACAGTGATATATTGTTTATTTTTTGCTCTGTGAATCAGCACTGTTGTTACAGTCAGCATGTACATACATCTGCAGGAATTCTGCTTAAGGAAGCTGGCGGATCTACGTTTTTGGAACACGTTTTTAGTAGCTTTGATTTATTTTGATTATTATGTGATGGGGGGTTCGCTGCAATTCATCAGATAGTTAGGTCCAAGATATGAGATAAACATGCTATGCAGGCTCTCAAATCAAACCATGTTGCCAAAGTTAAGTAGGCAAGTTGTTAAAATCATCAAACTCCAATTTACTTTTTATCTTAGAAAGAGAAAACATGTGCACAGCTTACGTATGATGTAGTGATTTTTGAAAAACATTAGAACACCTACAGATTGCAATGTTGAGCTATCCAGATTTAGGAAATGACAGTGTTTTAATTACTGGTGTAAAAATAACTCACTTATCTTGTGACTATGTTTCTTGGCCTTTAACCTTGTGAAACCAAGTATGTGTGTTACATGCTGCTTCCACTGAAGTAAGCATTGGATATTCTGAGTGATTATCCGAGCGATTCTGAGCGGTTATTCTGAGTCTTTTGGGGCTGTAAGTTACATACTACTTTTCAAATAATTCCTACTTTTGTATATAAACCAAGTGTAGTTCTGTTTCCTTCATTCAATATTGGCATCGTAATTATAAAAAGTAAAAACTGACGAGAAAAAAAAAAAGTTAAGGGTGGTTTGATTGTTGTTTTTTTTTCATTTTTAAATTCCTAGTCTGCTGCAAGACCAAGAAGTATCTTCTTTAAATTTCTATTTTGATAGAGTCATGTGGTGTATTCTAACAAATGTTGGTATGTGATGTTCACTGCGTGCTTTTTTCTTAATTATATGCTTGTGTGTACTGTGGTTTAAAGTGTTGGAGTTGCTTGGCACTGGAAATAACTACAGCTCAGAGCGAAATAACCATTTTTGGGTAACTACAGTGGCATTGGGGACTAATGAGGTTTGGAAAATTACATTACAGTGTTACTGAGGTGAACTCTTATAATGACAATATTGAAGACACAGGTGGAACATAGAGTTTTCACGTCTATTGTCAGTGCATATGGAGAGTTTATCAACTGGCCTGACTGTGCTTGACCTTTTGTTTGGTGAGCCAGGAGGGTGAGTGCCACCAAGCTCTCCTTTTCCAAACAAAACCTCTTGTATCTCTTTCATATTGCAAGGCCTCTGTAAAGGTCAAACACTGTTGTAGTTCAGCTGAACAAAAAAGGATCAGCTCCTTGCCTCCATCTTCAGGGATGTGCAGTGCCACGGACATGTCAGAAAGGAGGGGGAGAGGTTTATCAGGGAGGTAGCACAGTAAATGAAAGTAAGGATTTGCTACTCATAGGTAGCGCCTTAGAATATCTTGACTCTGAACTTGGTGACTGAGAAATACTGGCTTATGTATGAGTGTTTTATGTATCAATATATACTCTGTTTTGGAAGGCAATTTTTTATTTTTTCCTAAAGGGTTTTCTTTAATAACTTCACAATTTCAGCCATCCCATTTATTTAATTGAGAGCATGTTGCTGTCTAGCCTGCAGTCAGACTAGCTAACCCTGCCATTTTACCTTCTTGAGTGCAGTTTCACATTACAGGACTATCAGCCCAGAGACAGTTATCATACAGCAATAATAAGCTAATGCAGCTGTGTGAGTGAATTTAATTAACTGTAAAAATGGAATTCTCTGCTTTTTCCTGACTTGGCCAACATCCAGAAGTATGTAGCTTCTATGATGTAGGAAATACTGTAGAATACAAACTGTGCACCATGTAGGGATTATCTGCATAGTCTTTGGTATCCATAACCTGATTTGGGTTCACTTTTTACTGTGCGTTTATGCCTTCTCATCTCTTGTGTTTTTACTTGGCTTAAAAAGTAACATTGAGGTTTTACTATGAAACCTCATCTGGGGGTGCTTTTTTTTTCGATGGCATAGCTGCTAAAGAAGATATCAAAAGGTGCGTTTTCCAACATGCTATCTTCCTGAATAATGTTTTCAACAGCTGCAGCAGCTGTGGATATTATCAAGTTGTGAAGAATGTTTGAAATGTGCTCACAGTATGAATGTCCACAGACTAGATGTAGTGAAAGCTTAAACCAGGCACTCTGCAACCCAATTTCTCTGTGTAACCAACAGCTTTCTCCCACATTCACACCAAGCATCAGTAGACAGACTATTTGCAGCCTGATTCCCAGTACAGTGTACATTGCTCCTGTAGTGGCTAGATACAGATGCATTTTTAATTATTATGCTCTACTATTGTCATACCTAAAAGATTGCTATTAAAACGTGACAACTGGTGACTTTCTGGCATTTGAATATCAGCCAACCTTGAATATTATTTCATGGAAAGGGGTATTCATTAGCTTCTGGGCTTCCATCCTTTTGAATATCAAAGGTCTGTAGAGAGCAGTAATGATATTAGAGCTTATTCTAAGCAATTGGCAGAGGATTTCATAATGATTGTATCAGGCTAGCTAAGTATACAAGTTACTGTTAGACAAATTCTTTACAAAACCTGGCGTTAAAAAAATGACGCTGCAGACTCATGAAATAAATACATCATACATTCTTTCCTCTGCATTTTATTTGTATTCTTGTTTACTAACTTTAATTAAATGTTCTAGTGAAAAGGTTCTTCCTCACCTTTTTTTTTTCCCACCCCAGGGTCAATATCCCTCACCCCATTGCTCCAGTTTCTCTCTCTATTTTTAACTGTATGTAAAGCTTATGGTGTTTCAACTGTAACTTGCATGATATTTAAAGTACCTAAGATCAGCTTAGGTGTATCAAGGTCTGAATTCCACTTTCTTTTCACTTGTAGTGGAGGGGGTAATGTATCTGTATGTTAAATATAGGTTTTAAATGAGTGTATATGGGCTTTTTCAAACCTAAGATCAAGCTGGGTGGGTGGGTGGGTGGCTGAGTGGAGCAAAACAAAAAAACCCTTTTGCTAATTTAGCCTGATGCCCTGGCTGATTTTGTGATTGACCTATCTTTGCTCCCCTTTTTGTGAGCTAACTTTCAATGATGCTATAAGACCACAAGAAAAGTTACCCTAAACATTTATTTTTCTTTAGTGCTGGTAATATTTGGGACTTTGAGAGAAGATGTTTGAAGACCTATTGTGATCTGATCAAAACTAATTGGGTCTGGCAGCTGGATTGAAATCTGTTTTAAAAACAGCTTAGTAGTACTTCTGTTTATTTTTTTTATTGAGAATAAAATGAAAACATTATCTTTTCAGCAGTTGGTTTCCAGCACTTTGTAGATACACATCATCACTGTGTATTAAGCTTCATCTTAATATTTTTTATTTTTTTTAATGACACTGGTATAAACCCCAGGTCTCTTTGGTGACTGCTGTCTTTATTACAGGTGCTGTTGTCAGGACTAATTGGTGTTGTTTCATGGAAGAGGCCCCTTTCACTTGTGGTGAGTGACAACATAGCTTTAATCGTGTTGCAAAGACTTTAGATAAGTGGTTAAAGGATTCTGTGGAAGTAGCTCCCAGTGGTTTTGTCTTTATGTAGAAGCCTTATAGCCTTTGGGGATGATTTTCCAGTGCTATTATGTATCCTAATATTTACAAACACTTAGTACAAAAATTTTGGGGCTTTGGGGTTGTATTACATAAACTATCTAGGTGACAACAATATTTTTCTTTTATCTATACTTAAATGTTGGAGAGCCGTAATATTAATTATGTGTAAAAGAATGCATATATCTACTGCCCCTTCCTTGTAATTTTTACAGTTCTAGCTCTCTTTTTAAAAGTGATAGCATATGGTTTATCAATTTAAATGTAAGAACTCATGAATCATAAGCATTTTGATAAATGTGTATGTTATAAGAAAGGCAGCAATCATACTGTAGTTGATGGTGTGAAATTAAAAATGGCTGAAAAAAGTGAGCATGGTTGCCTAGCAGATATGCTTAACACTGCAGTATTGCTTGGATTAATAGATAGTCATGAAATACGTTATAATTTTCAATAATTTGTTTATTAATATATTTCAAAAAGTAATACCATGCATAGAAAAGTGCTTAGTCTCTGGCTGTTGTTCTAGACAAACAGACTGTTGGTCTGCATTTATCTTTGCATTTAACTTAAGTTGCCTAAAATTGCACTGCAGAGAAATCTTTTTAACCAATTATCTGGATGGCACAAAAAAGCATATTCCGTATTAGTAGCTGATTTTCATCTCCAAAACATTTTTCAGCTACATTATGTATACTATTGTGAGATTAATGTAGTTAATGAAAAGTAATTTATGCTTTGTATATGCATGCTAGTAGAGTTTCAGTTAACCTATTAACACTAATATTAGATTCAAATCAATCTTACTAAAAAGGTGAGATGACTGTGTCAATAAGGATGTATTAACAGGTAAATGTTGCCTTTGAAAAAGTGTGCATAGGTAACATCTTAACATAGGTAACACTAAAGATAGTCTCAAGAAAAAAGAATGTAATGGAAAGTATGAAATAGAAAGACCTGTATTAATGAGCATAAGCCTAATTTGAACTTCAGGTATATCTTTCAGTGTTATGAACTAAAGCCAGTAGTGTTGGAGCATCTGATATTTTTTTTTTCCTTTCCCTTTCTGTAATTCACTTTTCGTTGTTATTAAAGAAAGGATAGATTGAGTTTGTATTGATTTACTGATTGGTGTTTTTACCAACAGATGAACTCTACATGATGTAGAAAGATGCCTGATGGCAAGATAAATGTGCCCAAAATGAGGTCAAAGTGAAGCAAATTAGTGGAACTAAAGAGTGCCCATGAGAAAAGTAGCCGGCAGGTTTCTGGACAAAAATACAAAAAAAAAAAAAAGGACAAATTTGTGCTCATTGATGAGCACGGAGAGCTTTCACATTAGAACATATCAAAAGACAGCTGATATGTCATGAATGGGTAGTCATCAAATACAAATACTCAGAATTTCTCAGACTCTCATTTCCAAGAGTAAGCTTAGTGCTTATGAGTTAGATCCTGATTGTTTTTCCTTCTGTATTTCTGTATTGGCACGTGGTGGTGGTATGCTAATTGCTTGGAGGAATAGGGATGAGGTTTTTTGCCTCTGTGTGGGATTAAGCTGTGCAGTAGCTAGTGGTAATAGTTTTCCAGTGACTACATAATGTCTGGTTTTCCTTGTTGAATTGTACATACCTTTTTAGCAGTTGGAACCCACGTGTGCAGGATGACTATTTGGTCTGATTAAGCAATCAGTACTGTATAACTTTACAACCTCATGACACAAACTACTGTCAACATGCTAGTAAGTTGTGTTTCTCGGGATCTGCTTACACAGTACATATGCAAAATACATATGGTCAATAATTACCTTTTAACCTAATGTATAGTATTATAAGCAACTATATAATCAATTACAATATACATCTCCTTTTTCTTGCAGTGTGTTACAAAATCTGGCATTGCAGAGAGTGATAACAAAAAGAAAGATAGCTTTATCATTTGAAGCCATGAATAAAGTTTTATAAAATTAGAGCATGCACCATCTGTGACATTCTGAAAAATGGTGAAGCTGATAATATCTTAATGTGACACTTCCCTGCTTGTTTTGGGTTTGTGACTTAGACAGAGCTGGTAACACACCAGCGTTTTAGCTATTGCTGAGCAGTACTTGCACAGCATCAAGGCTTTCTCTTTTTTCTGCTCTGCATCACTTGCTTTGTTTTTTTCCTTCCTCTTTCCTTCGCTTATTAAACTATCTTCATCTCGACCCACAACTTTTTTCACTTTTGTTCTTCTGATTCTCTTCCCATCCTGTTGCAAGGGGGAGTGAGCGAGCAGCTGTGAGGTGCTTAGCTGCTGGCCAGGGTCAGCCCCTCATTCTACTGATTCTGGTTTGCTCACTGCTGTATTCATACAATCTTTTTCACAGATGCAGTGTCTTGTCTTTGCGAACTTATTGTTTTCTGCATGCGAAAGAAGTTGTCAAAGAAGCAATAAACACAAATAGTTTGTCAACTGTTAACTTCTGACTATATCTAACCAGAAATGTGTTAAGGAGTATTGGTACAGAAATGAGTGGGTGGATGCACGGTGTTAAACCACAGTCAAAACTGAGAATACTTGTATATTTCCAAGACAATAGCATGAGTGGTGTTTTATATTATACATTCAGTAGAAGATTCACAAATGTGTACAGACTGAGGAAATTTTACTGTGATGTTACTGTGCAGAAACTTAATTACATGCAGAAGCTCTCATGCTAAGGTGCCTTTGCATAGCTTAATTATCTGAAGGATGCACCAGACTGTTAGTTTATCTGAATTTTATTGGTCACCACCTAGCCATCGGTTGCTTATGTTGCCAAAATGCTATATATGTACAAGGAATCAGTGGCTGTTATCAAACCAGTATTTACATTTACCAGAGGAGACACTTGGGCAAGGGAGATCTTTAAATTGTTTACGGATTAATTTTGAACAGTGTTTTTCATATATTTTAGATGTTTTCTCGTTAAGCTTTCTGTATTTTTAATTACAAAATCTCAGAGAAGTTTTAGTGCTTTAGGGATATCTTTCAAGGGTCTCTTATTTGGAAACTAAATGCTGGCAGTGTCAGTACCACTGCTTAAGGTTAAAATGCTGTGTTAAAATAGGAATTTGTTTCCTCGTGGTTTATGGAGGTGTGTGAAAATTGGGGGAGACCTTGTGTAGCTCCTGAGGTTGAATTACCTTATACAAATTACAATGTGCAGTGAGATTACTTTTCTGTTGCAGTCCATGGTAATTGCAAATCTATTTGTGCTAAGGAGATTAATTCGGCCTCTGAATTGAGTAGAAAGCTTCTCTGTTGCCATCTGGCATTTGGGTGATCCCAGAAAAATATTTTTACACTTCTAACTGAAAGCTTTTACAATAAACCGATAGATTTAATATTTTTTTCAAGGAACAGAAGTGTATTTTTTAATGTCTGTGAACGTCAGTGAACACAACACAATATGTATTAATAAGTGATCTTGATTACTCAAAATAGCGATTTAAAAGCATTTCCTACGAAATCTGCATTCCAGATACAGTTCCATGCATCAGTGAACATGCAAATCTGTGCATATACCTTTAGTAACTAGCCTAAATATAAAGGCTCAAAAATCTGGACTGTACATCTGCTTTTCATGATGTTTTCTGATTTCTTTCTTTTGGCTTGAATCAAGGAGACACTTTTCAATGCATTATCCCTTCAAACGATCCATTACTTCAGGCACTTTTTTCTTTCTTTTTTTTTGGGGGGGGGGGGGTTGTGTTTTTTTTTTTATAAGAGATAGGATTTTCATCATTTAAGGAAAATAAAAGAGGAGTCATCCTAAATAGCAGCAGTTCAACCTGCACATCAGGCACAAGGATGGACTGCTGTGCAAGGTCTCAGACTGCGCCTGTGGTAAGAATCAGTCAAATACTGAACTAACTTTGTTAGAAGATATTTGTCTTGGGCCAGCTTGGTAGTTTGTGGCAAAATGAGAGGTTTTCTTTCTAGAAGTCCTATGAAAATCTTGAACTATTTGAATATCAGACTTAAATAATTTCTTTTTTTCACTAAAAATCAGTAGAAAAACATCTATATGTGTTTAAAAAAAACCCCACAACTTAATAATTTTCAATAAATACATTCGCATATACACTTGCCCCTCAAGATGCATGGATATTTAAAACTGGTCCAAATGTTTCCTGTTGATTATCTCCTATTACTAGATATCATTGCTGAGTATAGCAGAAACAACCAACTTCTGGGAAACAGATGATACATAAAATGTATAGAAATAACGTATAAGTAAGTTTCCCGTATTGTTCTCAGTGACGTGGGATGTTGACATGTTCCTGGCCATACTACTTAACCTTGAGGTCCTAGAGCAGCTTAAGTGATGAGACATGTATTTTTACACTCTAGTAAGAGAATTTACAGCTTCCTTTCAGATGAAATCTGATTTAAATTTTTGATTTTTATAAAAAAAAACATCCTTCCCCCCCTGCCACTCCCCTCCCCAGCAGAGATTTGGTTTTGGCAGTTGGAATAAATAGATAATCTCCACTACATAGTGGAGAGGCAATGTTTGCATAAATAGGTCAAGATTGTGAGAGAAAAACGAGTAAAAAAAAAACAAAACCGTGACCTGGGAGAATGGCAGAGTCCAAAGGCATCCGTCACCTTGTATGTCATTGTTGGCTTTGAAACTTGTCTGATGTTGAGATGAGATGCAGAATATCACTCTGCTTTAACATATCCCTTGATCGCTCTGCAGTATCCTTTCAGCATGTGTAGTCTTTGAATTCGTTGATCAAGATGTTCATTAGGAACCTTGCTATTAGACAAACTGTCGTCTTTGAGGCGGAAGCATTAGTTTAAAGGTTAACAAAACGAGGTAAAAACAACTACATCTTACATACCAGAGTTTTGCAAAGTTTCT